TCATGAAAAATATATAATTTGAGGCAAAATCAATCATATTCTGCCAAAGTCCCTTTATCCATATCTTTTGAAATAATGATAATCATTACAGAAACCAAGAACCATGTCATTATGAAGTTATAAATGATATATTCAAATTTTCCCCCACCATGGAGGAAAGGTCCCATTTTTCAGAGCGCCCGTGAGCCCGTGTTCCTTACACTATGAGGAATACAAACCACTGACATGTATGCCCACAGATAAGGTCACGTTCCTATTGACTCTGGGAAGTCCCTGACAGTCCGTGTGGCAACTCTCATTAGAGCAGACGCCCCAGCCTCCCGCGTGGGCGACTTAGCTGCCACTCTCTCCAGAACCTTCTCAGGTATATGTGTGCTGTGTGTGCTGTGTGTGTATGTGTGTGCATGGTGTGTGCATGTGTATGCATGGTGTGTTTGTGTGTGCATGTACTTGTATGTGTGCTTGTGTGTGGTATGTGCATGTGAGATGTGTGGTGTATGTGGTGTGTTGCATGTGGTGTGTATGTGTGGTGTGTGTGAATGTGTGTATGTGTGACGTGTGTGTATGTGCGTGCGGTGTGAGAGGTGTGTGCATTGTGTGTGATGTGTGAGTGTGCATGCATGTGTATGTGTGCATGTGTGTCCATGAGATCCCACAGGTGTCTGGTCATATATAAAGCTCAAGTGGCCCCTTCTATCTGGCACCTTTGTGATTCTGTGCACGCCTGGAAGCGGCTTCATTCATTTCACAAATTAAACATAGTGCTGCCCTGTAATACAGACTTGCCTTACTTCGTGTAAAAATTATAGCCCTGAGTGTCTTGTGCAAATTTAATTTGGGGAAAGTGAATTACATTTTAAATATAGTAGGTCCACTAGCTATTTAAAGAATTCCATAATGTCTCTCTCTTACACACTGCTTTTAAAAAGGTATATAGGATTTTCTCAAGATAAGGCATCTAATAGCTACATGAGCAGTGATAGGACTCATTTGCATGGCTGAGCGTGGATTCACGCTCATCGCTCTAACACACTGGTGGGAGCAGGAGCAGGCTTGGTGGCAGTGATGGTAAGTGAGGTCGTGGTGGTGGTAGTCACAGTAGTTAGTGGTTAATTGACTAACCAGAGGCCACACTGCTAGTAAGTCACAGAGGAGATCTCTGAACATGAACCATTTCCAGAGTCCACCCTATTGACACAGTCATGTGCACTGAAGTGAAGCGTCAGACCATCTTCATGAATTAGTCCACCTCACAGGGTATTTGTGTCGAAGGCTGATGGAGACCTGACCATCCTCCTACAAATATGCTTTAGCATGAAATGCTTCTCTATAATGTTCACGCATGTGGGTAGCCCATGCGTGTACGTACAAATGAGCAGCGGTCTGCATGTCTCTGAGTCTGCATCAGGTTTCACAGATTCTTATCAGCATCATCTCCATGAGCGGTTGCTCTGATAGAGACACTGTGTCAGGGGTAGTCTTCATTTCCAGGACCCGAAGAAATGGCTAAAGGAAAGACTGGTTGTCTGTCCTTCACCAGGTTACACCACCTTTAGGGACACCTCTATTCTCTCACTCTTTTGTGGGCTTCTCACCAGGTTTCCAAACCGAAGTCCTAGCTGACTGAGGCCAACCCCATGTGCCCGGCCGGGGCTCTACGTCCCTCCATTCTCACCAGCCATTCATCCCCGAGAGGAGCCTCACTGAGCTCCCCACCACAGTCCCAACTGAGAGCAGCGGAGCCCTCTCACCACCACACCCAGCCCTCCTGCAGAAGTGGTACCAAAGGGCCGGATTGCTCCTTCCCCAGAAAGGTTTTCACTCGGTTCAGAGACCAGTTCCAAAGTCAGAATTAGCGCTGGTGATAGGCTGAATAATGGCCACCCAACCTATCTGGAAAGAGGGTCTTTGCAAATGGGACGAAGTTAAAGATTTTGAGGTGAGATTACCCTGGGTTATGTCAGTGGATCCTACATGCCATCACAAGTGTCCTTATAAGAGAGAGGCTAAGGGAGAGGGAGAGAGAGAGAGAGAGAGAGAGAGAGAGAGTCAAAGAGAGGCCAAGAAAGAGAGAGTGGTGCTGGAGAGGGTTTGGATGATAAAGAACTCTCCTGCTGTCACATTGATGGCGAGACCACCTCTGGCTGCACATGGTCTAGCCACTCGGGCTTCCCTACGAGAGAGAATGCATCATTTAGATTGACTCGGACCTTCTGAGATCATTATGTTTCCTGTGTATTGGCACATTTGCACGTTAGAGTCAGCTGAGTCTGGCACACTAGTCAGCGATAGTCACTCATGACAGGGACATCAGAAAAGTGCCCCCGGCAGGAATATTTAGCAAGCGTTCAAGGTGCTGTCTATACAGGGTTGAGTGGGGAGAGAGTAGGAATGGAGGGAGGAAGCACTGCCATTCTGCTTTGGGAATTTCTCCTTGCAAGCAAAAGACAAGAAAGGAGAGATCATCCTTAAACCAGAAGCTCAAAGTGTAAGACAGACAATAACATCTCCAAAGAGGAATCCGCTGAAGAACAGACAAATGAAACAAAACGCTTCCTGTGAAGGCCCTCTGGCCCTGGTTTGTGGGTAGTCACTCCACTCCCTGAGCACGTCCAGGTGAGCAGGTCTCCCGCTACAGCGACACTGGGGACATCCCTGTGGTCTCACGGGAACAGTTTTGATGTACAATGTGGAGATCATTCAACAAACCAAAGCTGACCTTCATCCCGTCAAATGAAAACAACAATAACCACAGCACTGGACACTGTTACAAGTTCTCCTGTGTGGCCCATTTGCCCTTCAACAAGAAGTTGTCTCGGTTGGTGAAGACCCAGAGAAAATTAGGAGCAAAGTCGGGACTAGAACTAAGTTTCTGGATTCCTACAACCCCACATTTCCCCCCTCTGGTCATGGAGACTTCTGTAGAGAAGGAAGAGGAGGAGATTGAGGAGGTGGAGGAGGAGGAGAAGGAGGAGGAGAAGGAGGAGGTGGAGGAGGAGGCTGGGGAGGCAGTGCGGGTCCTGGAGGGGCCGTGCCTGGGGGCATGCCTGCAGCTCTGGAACAGTGCTGACCACCTTGTAGCTGGTCACCCCTGACCTCAGCCCTGCCTTCTGCTGCCCTGTAGAATGGCCTCTGCGGCCAACATGCCAGATCGTCCCCCTTCCCAGCTCCCTGCATGGGTAGCTGCCACAGAGAACGACTTCAAGGGAAAGAAGCTGACATGGATGGAATTAGCCTGGATGCCCAGCACAGCCCACCTGTGACCAGGAGAATGTCACTGGGTGATTTTGGTCTGTGCAGGCAGCAGATGGCAAACTCCAATAGCGCCTGGGCAGAGGGTGGGCATTGATTTACCCAAGAAGCCCCTGGACAGTGGGGGCAGTGGGAGGGCCCTGGAGTCCATAGCTTTGCCTTTGGCAGCTGCACAGAAGGCCCTGCACATGCACTGGCTGTCTCTGGATGCAAGGGTCGCTTCCCCACGGGGTGCCTACTGTAGGCCCCCTAAGGGCCAACAGACCTTGCTCCACAACACCATGGCTTCACCACTGTGGCAACTCTGCCGTGACCCTGAGCTGTTGCCTGGTGGCTTAAGTGCAATGCGCTAAAGCAGCAGGCTCTGCCCCACAGGCACCCACTCTCCAAGGACACATGCCCATTGGGGAGAGGACGCTGGGTGGGGAGAGGGGGGCAAGCAGCACCAGAATTGAGCATGTTTCAGAATCCTCAGGGCATTGCAGGGGAGGCTGGCGAGGTGCCGTTAGGGCTCATGTGGGTCCAGGCATCTCACTGCCAGCATCTCTGAATAGGCGTGAGGAGCCTGTGGACCGGATGGGACGGAGGCTGAGCTGAGGTTAGACGCTACCAAGTGTGGCAACCAAGTGTGGTAAAAGGAATGTGTCAACCCAATTAGAAATCAGTGTGCAATCTGACCAGGGGGGTTGTAAGAAGGACTTCCTGCCAATTCCGGAGGCTTTCTGGACGGGACCAGCCTCAGCGCGTGGGACTCACGCAGTCACATGGGGACCACGCTCAGAAGGACTGCAGTTGCTTTTACGCTCTCGTCGTCCTGAAATTTTCACTAGCGTGAACATGGGCCCATGTTTTCCTGTGCACTGTGTCTCCCAGACGCTGGCACTGGTGCTGTCTCTGGGTCATACACTGATGGACTAGGCTGCACTCTTAGGGCATCTGGTCTTCATTAGCTTCTCTCTCTCCTGACCCAACTGGGAACTGCTGGACCCACCTGGTACTGAGCAATATAGGGCCTGTACCAGGTCCCAATGAACCCACATGCTCAGGCAACGTCCGCTTGGCTCCATGGTTCATTAATCCATCAACAAGTCTTCATAGGCAGGAGGAAATGGGCAGAGCTGCTTTATTACTAGACTGCCTTGCAATAATAATCTCTTAAAAGTAAAAAGTGAGCCCTAGCTGGTTTGGCTCAGTGGTTGCCGGCTCAATCCCCAGTAGGGGGCATGAGGAAGACAGCCAATCAATGATTCTCTCTCATCATAGATGTTTCTATCTTTTTCTCCCTCTCCCTTCCTCTCTGAAATCAATAAAAATATTTTTAAATATATTTTACTGGGGTTTTTTTACCGAGAGGAAGGGAGAGGGATAGAGAGTTAGAAACATCGATGAGAGAGAAACATCAGTTCAGCTGCCTCCTGCACACTCCCTACTGGGGATGTGCCCTTGACCGGAATTGAACCTGGGACCCTTCCGTCCGCAGGCCAACACTCTATTTGCTAGGCCAAACCAGTTAGGGCTCAATAAAAATATTTTTAAGTAAAAAGTGAAAAATTAGTTCCAGCAATAACTGTCTCTGTGAGACCTCCATTAGGGTCAAGCTGAAGGGAAGCCATAACCTGGCCAGGGGTTAAAGGTGAGAACAGTGCACACAGATGCGCCATCCTGGGCAGACGTCTCCCACGGCCGGTCTGGCCCTGGCAGCATAGGGTTGGAGCATTCATGCCACTCCTTCCACTCTCTCCCGACAGGCGTGAGCAGCGCCGAGGCTCGCCAGCCCGGGAAGTCTTCCCACTTCAGTGTGAACTGGGTCGTGGGCAGCGCGGACGTGGAGGTCCTGGACGCCACCACGGGGAGGCGGAGCTGCGGGGGCTCCTCCCGGCTCTGCAAGCACGTGCTCTCTGCCCGGTGGGCGCGGCTGTACGGAAAGGTGGGTAACACAGCCAGCCCAGGGCTCCCACCTGGACACAGGCCAGGGGCCCGAAGAATGCCATGGGGCCTGCAGCCAGTGGGACACGTGGGACAAGAACTGGCCCCAGGTCTGCTCTCTTTTCCCCGACTCGCCACAAACTTCCGCCAGGCCGGGCCAGGCTAGCGGCTTGAGAAGTCAGGTGGAAAAGGGGCTTGTTCGGGACACCTGGGGTGGCCAGCACAGGGCAACATAGAAAAGTCCATAGAAGGCTTTTCAGTTTCGATATAAGGAAACTGGCGTTCAGGAAAGGGGGGCGATTTGCCCAAATGATGCCGGTAGTGAGGGGTTGCCTCTCCTCTCCAACCCTGGAGGCTGTGCATTGCTATGGCACCAAATCTGGGCTTGCTTTCTCCTCTGTGAATCGGGTAATGACGACATTTCTGGGTTCTAAATTGTGATATACATTTCCATGTGCTTCCAAAGCATAGCAGATTGTAACCAAAAATAAAGAAAAGCAAAGAAACACATTAAAACTGCTGTGCTGGTCGTCCCACTTTCTTACCCGGGGAAAATGAGAGCTGTGGCTGACTTAGCCAGCAGAAGAACAGGACAGACCTGCTGAGGCTTCAAATAAACACGGTGTCCACTCAGGACCCTGAAACTGCACATCTCAGCTCCTAGCCTGGCAGTGACCCCGGCGGCACGTGGGCCCTGGGAACCTGGCCTGCTCTGACCCTGCAGCCTGGGAAGCCTGCCTCCTTTCCCACCTGTTCTAGGCACTTTGCACGTGTCCCTTCTACCCCCTGGTGGGGACTGGAAGGTCGGAGCAGGCCATCGGTGCTGTCTTGCTGAACAAAGGGGCCTCTTCTCCTGCCCTGGCTCCAGGTGACGGTGGCAGCAAGTGGGTGGGCTGGTCTCTACTCACCAAGCACCCTGCAGGGGGATTGGGAGACTTTGATCTCTTGCCCTCCCTGCGCACCCTGACCTCCCCGCTGGGTGGGTAGTCGGGCTCTGCTTGGTCCCACCCTGTGCGGCCTGCACGGCTGTGCCTGTCATGGCTCAGGAGAGGGAACATCCCGGTCTCATCGTCCTCCTGCCGGTTAGACTATAACTCAAAACCTCCTGGCCCTGCTGCTTTAGTTCCCACAGTCATCCCCGCACCACCATCCCCACCCCAGTCTGAGCCCTGATCCTCCTCCAAGGAGAAAAACTACACACGGCGCGTGTGGCTGATAGCAGGCAAGTTACCTGTTCATTTTATTCCTTGATCATTCACACTCTGAGGGAAGCAGTTTCCCTAATAAGTGGGGTTTTCCATGGAATTCTCGACCTTGCCTGATAATTCTAATAGTTATTTTTAGAATTAATAATTAACTGTAACTAATACAGGGAATGTTTTTTGGAATTTTATGTGATATTTTACTTTATCAGTGGGTCAATTTAGGGAGAATGGGTATTCTGTTTTTAGCAGTTTTATTGAGGGTACAACTGACATAAACATTGCGTACAGGGTGGGGCAAAAGTAGGTTTATGGTTGTGAGTACGTGAAACACAGTTTGTTCTTGCATTATTATTTATTGTTGTATTCTTTCCATGCAAACAACTGTAAACCTACTTTTGCCCCATCCTGTATATTTAAGGTGTACAATTTGATATTGTGATGTAGATGCTAGTATATGTGAAATGACCACCACAATGGAGCTAGCACTTGTATCAGCTCCGCACCATTACTATTTGTGAGTGTATGTGTGTGTGTACAGGCAGTGAGAAAACTTCATCTCAGATCAACCCTCTCACAAATTTCAAGTATATTGAAACAGATTGTAACCCAAAAAAATAAAAAATAAAGACAGAAGGTGGAACCAGGAGCTAACGTTTGCTTGTCACGCTCGTGCGGCTGTGCCGTTCGCCTTGGGGCTCCGCCTCCGCTCGCGGCTAACTTGTCCTTTCTCACTCCTGTCCCACAGCTGAGCACACGGATACCGAGCCACGGAGACACGCCGTCCATGTACTGTGAGGCCAAGCTGGGGGCGCGCACCTACCAGTCAGTTAAGCAGCAGCTGTTCAAAGCGTTTCAAAAGGCAGGCCTGGGCACCTGGGTGCGGAAGCCGCCTGAGCAGGACCAGTTCCTACTCACCCTCTGAGCGGCTGCCCCGGGCTCGCGGACAGAGTGAGATGCCTGAGGAGGTCGGGCGGGCGTGAGGAGCAATGAGACTGTGCTGACCGGGTCTGTGCGTCCCTTGTCCTTTGGTGTGCCAGAAACACGCGAGCGTGCCATGTTCGGATGAGCAACTAGACTTGAAGTGCTGCTTCTCGGATGGCTGCTCCCAGGCTGCTGGAACCACGCCCGCCCGCCACACCTACAGGCATGAGTGTGGTGGCTCCCTCTTCTTGGTGTGCCAGAGGGGACATGACTATTCAGGCTGCAGGGTCTGAGTTGCAGCCTCGAAAGGTGGCGCCGGGGCATTGCCAGTTAGAAATGAACCTCAGGCACCGTTCATTCCCTGTTCCCCTCCCCGACGCGCCGCTCGAGCGTTGCACTTGGTTCTCACTAGCACAAGGTTATAGACACTGCGAGATAAGCCACAAGTGAAGAGAAAAGCCATGGGCTCCTCCCCAAAGAAGCCAGTAAGAAGTCCTCTCGTTGTCATCATTCGTTTAGTGTTTTACTCTGTCTCCTTTCGAAAAGCATTTGGGATGCATGATCTTAGCTCCTAAAACAGGGCCAGAGAAATGAGACCCCTGCTGCAGAGCAGAGGCACTAGATGTGACAACACTGTCCCTGAACGTCCCAGGCCCCAGCTGTCCCAGGCGGTCCCGGCCCGTTGTGCCCTTCACTGCTCGGCGTCGCTGGCAGATAATGAGGCTTGAGCTGTATAAGGGCAGCTACCACCTCACAGCCTCCCGCCAGGTAATGAGGAAACCCCATCCTAGACCAAATTCTGACTTGGGAACTAAATTGTTCTTAGAAAGCAAGCACCAGAAGCTTCCAAACAACCTTGACTCTGAGCTTGAGCACCCACCAGCTCTTGATTCCTTTAGGTTCCCCCTCAACACCTTGCATGACAGAAAGAATTCATTGAAAGCAGCTGTACAAATGCAGGAGACAGGATCCTGTCCCCTCCAGAGCGGGCGGCAGACGGCAGAGTCCTCCTGCACACGCTGGACGAGGCCAGGGCACCGTCCTGAGCGTGAGAGGCAGGACCGTACCCCTGGTCGTGCAAAGCGAGGTGCCCCCCTAGTGTACTGTAGTCAGTCCATACACCTTGACCTGTTACTGTGATCACTTGAGAGCTCATTTCTAACACCCTTCATGCTCGTTGACAGGTCTCTAGTTTCTCCAGTTACAAGCCCCATATCTGAACTCATTGTGCTAAGTAGCAGAGCTTAGTAGTAGCCACAGCTCTGGTATCTGGGCTGCCCATCAGGATCCCAGCTGCACCCCTGGGGGAACACCTTGAGAACACAGGCTCCCATTTAACCCAGGAAACACGAGCATAACATCAGACTCTATATATTCTGGTACAAATTACAGATATCATACCAGTGAGTCAAAAATGAAACAAATCGAATTGTAGGTAGTTGTTAAAAGATAATAAGTAGAGACATTAGTCTGGAAATAGAAGCTTTTCCTGAGATTTCATATAACGTCAACTTTATCCCTCGTGTTTTTTGGAAAGGAAAAGGGCACTGCAGTAGACGACTTCTTCAAGATAAAGTTTCAAAAGATATGAAAATGTTTTGCAAATATGGCTCACATTAGTCATTCATAAAAATTTAAATTTTAAGTTAGTACAAAAGCCGTGATAAAACGGCCAGTTTATATTATTAGTTTCTGATAATCTGATGTGTCATTAGGATGGGGGTTAAAGAACCAAAAGCCTTGAGAGCTGATTGATGACTTAGACCCTCAGCCGCAATATCTGGAGACCCTCTCCGACAGCAGCAGGCGTGGGCGATCCCGGCTGGTGTCTGTGGCCTGAACCTGAGCTGCCAGCATCCTCACCTGCTGCCTGGAGAAGTGTGCATCCGCTTTACACCAACTGCTCCAAATAGCACTCCCTCTCCTGTGAGGAGCGAGCATGGGCGGCGGCAGTCCTAATGCCGGCGGGACCGACCTGCAAACCGCATAGTGGGCCACCCGCACGGTCCATCCCAGACCCCTGGATGGCATTCTCCTGCCCCACAAAGACCATGCCCACAGCTCCTGAACTGCACCAGTTGGTCACAAGTCATTTTGCCTAAGGCTCCGGCTCTCTGGAAACAGCCCAAACTTGACTAAACTAGAAACATCTTCTTCTGAAGAAAGCCACCCATGAACGCCGCTACACCCATTAGCACCAACATGCAGAGTCGTCTGCTGGGTCCGCAGGGACGCTTCGGAGGCAGAGATGAGGCTCTGCAGAGGTTTACAGAGAGAAGGTTCCAGTGTAGCGTTCCAATAGCCTGACACGCCGCCGCAGAGGTGCCTGTCGGTGAGTGGGAAGTGAAGAAGGAGCCCAGGGAGGAGGAGACACTAGCAAGCTGTGGGCACAGAAGGGGCAGCCAAGGAAGGCGCACTGAGCCGCCCGGAAGCACCTGCCGAGAGCCCGGGCTCAGGGTGCTGCCCGGGAGGCACCTGGTGCAGCTGGAGGGGCGGTCGTCAGCCCAGAGACAGAAGGTCTTGCAGGGGAGCCGAGGATTCCACTCTCTCTCTCTTCAAAGTCCAAAAGGACATCCCAACACTGCGTTAGGCCAGGTCTCCCCTGCATTTGCTAAATAGAAAATCTGAGGAATCCGAGTCCTGAGAGGAGCCCACATCCACCTGACCACCTGAGGTTTCTGTAAGGAGGACGAAACAGGAGCAGATGGTGTGTAATGTTTAGTCACCCTGAAAATGTGACGAGCAAAACAGAGGGAAGATGGACAGACATAAAGTCAGGGTCTCCCCAGGTTACCTCGACCGCCCCCACCACGCATCTGAATTTGCCTCAGCATCACCATCCTGCATCACCGGTGGCTCCGTCCCTTGCTCGCAACCTTCCCACGTTCTGTATGTATCGCTCTTTAGTGCTGATACTAAACTCCAAGTGCAAGCCACACCACCCTTATCTGCCTCCAGAGCGTGTGTTGCTCTCCTGCTGGGGAGATAAACCCTGGGAGCTCCCCTGCCTGGCTCTCAGCCAAAGGGCTCGCCGGGGAGAAGGCCACAGGTCGCATGGGCTCGGCCTGCCCCGCTCCAGTGCAGTGTCACAGCAACCTGTGACAGCACGTTATGGGATTTAGGATTTCTTTGGTTTTGGTTTTTGCCAAGGAAAGAATTTGTGGATCTGTAACTATGATTTCTTTTTATTCCCTATGGTTCTCTTTTAGGATTTCTTTGGTTTTGGTTTTTGCCAAGGAAAGGATTTGTGGGTCTGTAGCTATGATTTGTTTTTATTCCCTGTGGTTCTCTTTGAGTCTGTATATAGTTTTCTTGCCACCACTGGTTTTGTCTTGCTCCTCAGACACATCCAGTTGTGTTACTTGTCAAGCAAACACAGCTCATGGTTTTCCCACATAATTTCCTTTTCAGAAGAAGCTGTTCTTATCAATAAAGTTAAATGTGTGTTTTTTCCTTTAGTTTACTGTTTACCACACCTGGAGAGCCATAAACAGTAAATACATGGTATAGCAATGCCCAGAGTAGAAGAGATAGAGTATTTTGATGAAATCCTATTTTTAGATTATAAATTTTAAAATGTGTCTATATATCTTGTTTAAAGAATTTAAAAAGACATTTAAAACGTAGACATTTTTAATTTGGGGAAACTTCTACACCCATTTTTTTAAAAGCCATTCTAATGACATCGTCTGTGCAATTGGCCCAAAATACAATAAATTTCACTTTCTAGTAGAGACCAATGGGAGTTCGGGGCCGTCTCTCTGTGCCCCAGCACTGACTGCTAACTCAGCAAACCAGGTGGACCTGTGCTGGTTTCTCCACTGCCCTCCTGAGCAGAGTTCACAGAGCCCGTCACTCTACCCAGGATCAGGACAGTCCACACCGCTCACGTTCCCAGCTCTGAGTTCATGTGGAGTTCGGGGTAGAGTGGGAAATTAGAAGCTGTGTTTCAGGAAGGGCTGTAACACCATCAGGCAGCATTTAGCTGGGACAAGACCCCTCTGCGGTCTTGCTGGCAGTTTATGCTCAGGCACAGTGATGAGACATGTGGGGTGCCCTAGGGACAGGGCAGAGGGGGGGACTGACAGCCTGCAGAGCAAGGGACCACTTGCCGCTGTCCGTGGTCCTGACCTGGTTGCTGCCTGGAGCACTGCGTGTCTGGGGCCACTGGGATACTGTTGGCTCCTGTCAGATTCTCCCACAAATTCCAAATCAGGTGAAGGGGAGTAGACCAAAGGAGAGCAAGGATACCGGCTGCAGAGTGATGGCTTTGGAAAACAAATGCAGCACCCGCGATTCTGGGAATCCAGACAGATAGGTGACCATCATCCCCCCTGTGCATTTTTCCTCTCACCAATGCTGCTTCTCTGATTTCCTTTCTCGTATTTCCTCTCCCTCCCCTTCCTGTTCCCTTTCTTATTGCCTGTCCTCCCCTATCCAAACACTTCTGACTGCTGAGATTCAAGTCTCAGGCAGATGTCTGCCTTGAGCTCCACTCAGCTGATCTGTGAATCAGCTGGGCGCGCAGGACGAGGCAGGAGCCCCGTGTGACTTCTTGTCCAGAGGGATTTATGAGAGTTCTTTTCTGGGCTCCTGGACCATGTCCACTCAGTCTGACCTTCCACCAAAGGGGACACTGATGGCCACATCCCTAGAATTTTAGACCAGAGGACACCACTCCTGCAGGGAACTGGAGACAGTATCGAACCCTGGAGAAAGAAGTACCTTACTTCCCAACTCAGCATTTCAAAGTCAAGTCGGAGGGACCTAATATCCTCTAGGATACAGATAAAAGACTGGGTTCTAGGGCCTCTATTCACACAGGCACTAGATTTCTATCACTCTGCAGTGTGTGCATCAGTAAAAACAGAAGAAAAACACTAACCCAGCAGTGCCCAGTGAACTTTCTGCTAATTTTCAGCATTTTTTAAGCAAAATGAACTTAATGAATAGTATTCTTAAGAGAAGGTTTGTACATAAAAAGCATGACTGAATGGCAATATTGTACCATGGATGTACATTTGTAATATTTGTAAAAAAAATCCAAAATCTTAAAATATGAATTTAGATATGTTAATTTTCCTCTAAGTTCTGTACATTGCACTTCAGTGATATCTGATAAGTGAATGTTTCTGTTAAGTGAATAAAAATATCAAGTAAAATTGTGTGCTTCCGTAGGTTGTTGAGCCTTTTTCATCCATCAGCATTCGGGGAAACTCTGTAGAATACACTGTGTAGGTTTAGAATCCATGAAGGGTCCACCCATTCCAAAGAAATGGCACACTCCACCCTAAAACCCTTTTCTTTTCATAACGATTGTGTCTGTTAGTGGATCCTGCCTGATGTTACCCTTATAGATTTTATGTAAATGAATTACCAAAAATATCACAGGGCTGGGAATAAAAGACCCCCCAAGCCCTGACTCAACTTCTATTAATTGTGTAAAATGCAACAAATCTCTCAGCAGGTGACTTGGCCCCCAATTTCCTCGCTGTTAAGTGTGGGGAACAGCCAGCCCGCTGCATCACGGGTACATAGGGGAATAGGCGGTGTTGGGATGTTCCCGGGCTTTGAGATGTTGAAGAGAACATTGAGATGTTCTGAGTCTTCCGCCCAAACGTGCCCTCACACAGAAAGCACAGGTGTGGCTTGATGGCTTCCTGTAGGAGACAAGGCCAGATGGGCATCCGGCCATAAGAAACACCTAAAGCCTCACTCAGAGTCCTCAGCTCCACTCTACAGCATGATGCAGGGAACTTCCCAACAACACGTTTGGTCTCTTTCCTGGGTCGGCTAAGGGACTTTGAAATTTCACCGATCCCAGGAGCAGAGCGAAGTCACAGACACACCGCGCACAGGGCTGACGCTCCCAGTCAGGTTTCTTGTTGCGAGCACTCCTCTGGTCCGTCACGGCTCCTGCAATTCCCCTCACAGGCCTCTCGGGCCGGGGTGGAGGTTTCTTACATTTTGTTCAGTCTGCACTGGTTTGCCATTAACCACAGTGACACTCAGCTCAGGTGTGAACATGAATCTCGGGGTGGGCGCACGCTGGAGTGTAGGGAGATCTTAAAATCAACGCCCCGGGGACATTCTGACACGTCCTGTCACCCTCAGGTCTGGTGGGGAGCACTGGGCAGCATCTCCTGTTTCAAGCCATACAGTAAGTTGCCCCTAATGGAGAGGACACTTTAGGCCACAGTCACTGGTAGGGAACAGAGGGGATCTGAAAGCATAAATAAGGCTCAAGACAAAACCGAGGCATCTGAGTGCCGCGCCTCAGGAGTCAGGGGTGGGATCACCGAGCCCAAGAATCGGGTCTTTGGGTGGTAGCATTGCTTATAGCCAGGAGAGTGAAAGCTCCCAGACATCTCTTCACGGTCCTCAGAAGGGACTCTGGCCGGCACCCAGCCCCGCTCTCACTCAGAGGCGCCCCCTCCTACGAGAGAAGACCCCTCATTCCTGGAAATGAGCAGTCTGGTTCCTGGTCACCTCCTTGAGTTTAATGCTCCTGCATATTCACCCAGATCATTCTTCATGCCTGTCGAGTCCCCGCCTGCCCTTGCTGGGAACACGGCGGCTTCATTTCTTGTGGCATTTTTCTTGCTTGTTGGGAATTTTTTGGGTGAAACATGAAGTTTATGATATATTGGCTCAGTAAAAGGTTTCGGTGAAGTGCACATTTCCCAAGGAGAGTAACAAGAGTCTACTCCGACTCTTGAAGCTGGGAAGGCGAGTGTGAAGCATGAAGGACACCCGGCCAGGCCAGCGCAGTGATGCACGGCGCCGGGCCCACTCCGCAGCTGTTCAGTCGGGTTGCCTGGATGGCAGAAATGCACTCTGTCTGCCAAGTGAGGTTCACAAACCAGCGCCCTTACAGAGCCAGCCTTCTGGAAAAGTCTATCAACAAAGACGGAGAGTGGACAGGCCCCAGGGTAACAGCGATGGACTCGATGATGACCTGCTCCAAAGTGGTCACAACCGTGCCCTCGCCTTTCAGAATTACACGTTACTGGGCTAAGCCTGGGACTGAGCTCACTAAGAAGGTCAGTATTTAACGTAGGTCCCCCAGCCGCTCAGAGCTCGAGCTCCCTACAGGGTGTTCTGAACAGCGTCTCTCCCAACCCTGGGAAACAACGTCCCTGAGCAGTTCAGAGCCTGGGGAGGGGATGCTTCTGGAGTCAGGGAACCCGACGTCTCGTCCGCTCTGTGTCGGTGAGTGCTGAGGCCCAAGCAAACCGCAGCCCTGAGCATAAAATGGCTAATAGTTACCCCAGAGCAAAGAGCAACGCAGACACAGTGAACTCTCTCAAACCAAAGGGTGCTGTGCAAACATCAGTGGCTTTTCTTCATAGACGTTGAGTGCACAGGGCAGGTGGCCCCAATGAGCTTCTGGCAAACCAGGTCCACTCGGAGATTTCAGTAGCAAGAGCAACACAGCTCTCCAGGGTTGCAAACTACTGGAGAATGGAAGAAGGAATTGTATCCATGGGGGAGGGGGGGTAACTTGTCACAGAGACAAGAATGAGGTGATGCCACTTTTATAGAGCCCGAGAGGAATGAAAACATCAGGAAGATGATCAAGCATGTAAATGTATTATATGTATACACATACATAAAACAGTCTGAATGCTTCTGTCCCCAAAAGTGGTGAAACTTAACCCCCAAGGTATGGTGTTAGGAGGTGGGCCTTTGGGAGCTGATGCGGTCAGGAGGGTGGCGCCCCCTGATGGGATTAGTGCCCTTATAAAGAGCCCCAGGGAGCTCCCTCGCCCTCCACCATGTAAGGACCCGGTGAGAAGACGCCTTCTGTGAACCAGAAAGAGGCTCTCAGCAGGCACTGAATCTGCCGGTGCCTTGATCTTGAACTTCCAGCCTGCAGACTGTGAGAAATGAATGTCTGCTGCTTACGCCTCCATCTGTGATGTTTATTATGCAGCCCAAACAGACTGAGAGAGAAAACAGGGGAAGGAGGACTCAGAAAAGACCTGACGACCGGAAGTCTGTGGGCTTTGAGGGAGAAATTTCGTGACCAGTCCGGGGTGGATGTGGCACAGTGAGGTGAGTGGGGCAGGGATAGGGCAGGAGGAAGGCAAATGCAGGTGGGGGTGTAGGAGAAAGGGAGGGAAATGGAGGTGTTCGTAGGAGAGCCCCGCAGGGTGCTCAGCACAGGGCAAGTCGGAGGGTAGATCCTACAAGGACCAGGGCCACCAAGGGGCCTCCTGGAACTGGCCTGGCACACAAGGATGGTCAGAGGCCGCTGTGTTCCCCAGCTTTCAGGAGAGGCCACCAGTACATGGGCCCCACCGGGACAGCAATTCGGGGCTGCTTTTCAAAAAAACTAGTGTGTCCCCAGTGGCTAGTGTATGGTAGGTGTTCCATAAAGATTTGCTAAGAAACAAATGAGTCAGCATTTCTCTGGGTAAGGAGGGAAGGAGGAGGGACCAGGACTGAGCAAGAGAAAGCACTGAGCACTTTACATCCAGTTACACGGCAAGGAGAGAGTCGGAGACCCCGCAGCACACAGCGTGTCCTTGCCTGCAGGACTCTCCACGCCTGCACACCATCTCCCTTCTCTCTCACACGCACACATTTCACAGGTGCACAAAATACAAAGGCATTGCTCTGGAGCCTCCTCCTTAGAAAACCGCCCGCTCGCCCCTGTTCTACTTGAGGAACCATCATCCTGCTCAGCAAATGTCACTTCCACTTTGCTTCCCCTTCCATTAGGCTAAGTGAGTAACTGTCCCTGCGCCCAGAGCCCTGCCATCTGCCGGCACTGCCCTGGATGCGAGTGACACCTCCGCAGGAGTCACCGGGTCTCTCAGGCCTGAGATCTCGACCATCAGTTCCCATTTGTGTGAAACACCTTTACGGCCTCGCTGGGAGGCTCACACAGGCTCCGGGACACACGGCTAATGGTGGGCCCTGGGGAGAGCCGCACAAACACAGGCACAGGCGCAGGCACAGGCTGTGGGCCTCACACTCTGGGGTGGGGGAATGAGGGGGTAGAACAAGGACCCACAGGTCAAACCTTGGGGGTGGGGGTGTCACACTGGGGCTTGGGCCACCGTCAGCATAGGATAACTGGCTCCTTTCCCAGCAGCTCTGGCTGCAGTCTGGACGCAGCACTTCCCTGCTCTGCACATAGTCTTTGACAAAAGAGGCTTCATTACTCTCCATTTTGGTTACCTGAAATGGCTCATTTAAGAATAAATGGTAATGTACTCTCCAATATCAAAGGAGGTCAGCCAGAGAGCCCAGGAGGGTCTGGAGGCAGAGGGGTGTGGGGCCGTCCTGGAGGTGGGGAGGATAATCCTGCTCACAGGATAGGCCCCTCCTCACCTCCCCAAACGTGTTAAACACAGAGACACGTGTCATTTCTTAGAATGCCAAGTGCAGACCCCAAGGAGAACAGAACCCGAGTGTCACAGGCTTCATGCCTGATTCTGGAATCCTGCCGACAGCTTCACACACTCGATGCGCAGTGAACACTCCTGTGTGTGCTCTCAGGCTGTGCAGACTCATGCAGAGTGACCTCCCCAGTGTTTGTAGAGCTAGTTTTCAGTGAGTCAAGGCAATTTTCCCACAGAGATCTACGTTCACTAGCTCTGAGTCACCTTATGCCACTGAACCCCAACTCTTCATCTTTTAGTAACCTAAATTGAAGAATTATTATGAGGAGTCAACGAGATAACAGGTGTAAAAAAATGGGTGTTCAAAATTGGTGCAGCCAATTTAAAATTGGAAACAGTATGGAAGTTCCTCAAAAAAATAAAAATAGAACGACCATATAACCCAGTGATTCCACTTTGGGGTATTTATCCGAAGAAATCCAAGACACTCAAATAGATATATGCATCCCTTTGTTCGTTGCAGCATTATTTACAACTAGAGGCCCAGTGCACAAAGTTCATGCATGGGGATAAGGGGTCCCTCAGCCCGGCCTGCACCCTCTCGCAATCCGGAACCCCTTGGGGGATGTCTGACTGAGGGATTGGGCCTAAAGTGGCAGTGGGACATCCCTCTCCCAATCCAGGACTAC